CATCAAACACTCGTTTCTGTGGCTGCAGTTAACCGCAGCAGCAGCAGCAGCTAGCTGTAGCACTTCCACTGCAGCCTGCAGGAAGTTTTTGTTTAAATAAATTTCACTTTAAATTCCAAACAATATTTATATTTTCAAATTGACATAAATTAAAATGTCTAATTCCTGCAGGAAGTGACCTCAGGCAACACCGGAAGTGCTACAGCCTGCTGCTACTGCTGCTACTGCTGCTTCTTGCTCTTGGAAATTACCATTAAAGTCTAAATAATAACTTTGATGATGTTGTAAACATTGTTAAAAGCTTGAAATTGTAGCAGACGGCTCTGCTTGCACCAGCTGTTAGCCGTTAGCCCTTAGCTGTTAGCTGGTTCAAAGAGTTATCTACAACAGGTAAGATGTTGATTTTTCATAACTCAACACAGGACACCGCCTCCAAATGACTAGAATATCMTTTTAACGTTGATGCTAAATGACCGGAGCTCATAAAGACTTATTGTTTACAGCATTTCTACTTAAATAAACAAACAAGTGTTTATTTTTTTCTTCTTCAACCGAGACATAAATCATTTTCTAATTTTAAACCTCAAGACGAAGAGACGCTGCCAGGAAACACTTGTCTCAAATTATTTCCTTTTCCTCCTCATGTCTCTCACAGACAGTTTGTTTACTCTGACAAACAGTTTGTTTACTCTGACAAACAGTTTGTTTACTCTGACAAACAGTTTGTTTACTCTGACAAACAGTTTGTTTACTCTGACAGACAGTTTGTTTACTCTGACAGTTTGTTTACCATCAGACTGTTTTCAGTCCTGATATAGAAAATAATCTGAGACCAAACACCATCACAAGTGGACCGTGTTGTGTTTGAAGTCCAGAACCTGAGCCGTACCTGAGGTCTGGATGATCTGATCCCAGCAGAGCGATCTGGACCTGGAGGGCAGGGACCTCCTGGAGCTCCAGGACTTCTGCGATCTTGATCAGGATTTCCTTCAGCCAGTCCTCCTTTGATCCCTTTCAGAGCAGAACAGTCAAATCAGAATGGAGTTTCCTGGATCCTGCTCCAGGTCTAATCCAGATCTAGGTCTAATCCAGATCCAGAACTAATCCAAAAAAGAGATAATCTGTAGATTATAATCTCACCATGYTGCTGAAGATGAGCTGCAGACTGTGTGCGTTGTTGGTGATGGTGCTGGAGGCCTTCAGCTGCTGCTCCCGGTCCCTCAKCTTCAAGTCTCCTCTCAGGAGCCTCCTCACGTACTCCTGCGTCACCTCCTGGTGCAGCTGACCCACCAGCTCCTGGAAACGAGCCGATCAGAACATCAGGAGTCAGAACTTTGACAGAAACGAACCCACCACCAGAGTTTGATGTTTCTGCTCCTCACCTGCTGACAGGAAGGATGAAGGTCCTGGAAGCCCCGCAGCTCCTTCTCCAAACCGTTCAGCAGCTTCTGGAATGAGTTCTTCTTCAGCCACTCGCTCGTCCACAGCTTCTGGTACTGCGGCTGTAATCCAGAGAGACAGCAGATTATTTTACCACCAACATCATCCAGGAGTCACTGAAACTAACAACAACTAACACAATCATCAGCATAGGCTGCGGAAGAACAAACAACACAACACAACACTGAATAACAGCTGAATAACTGCTGAATAACTGCTGAATAACAGCTAAACAATAGCTGAATAACTGTTGAATAACAGCTGAATAACAGCTGAATAACAGCTGAATAACTGCTGAATAACAGCTAAACAATAGCTCAATAACTGCTGAATAACAGCTGAACAACTGCTGAATAACTGCTGAATAACTGCTGAATAACAGCTGAATAACAGCTAAACAATAGATGAAAAACTCCTGAATAACTGCTGAATAACAGCTAAACAAAGCTCAATAACTGCTGAATAACAGCTGAATAACTGCTGAATAACAGCTGAATAACTGCTGAATAACAGCTAAACAATAGCTGAATAACTGCTGAATAACAGCTGAGTAACAGCTAAACAATAGCTGAATAAATGCTGAATAACAGCTAAACAATAACTGAATAACTGCTGAATAACAGCTGAATAACAGCTGAATAACTGCTGAATAACTGCTGAATAACAGCTGAATAACTGCTGAATAACAGCTAAACAATAGCTGAAAAACTCCTGAATAACTGCTGAGTAACAGCTAAACAATAGCTGAATAAATGCTGAATAACAGCTAAACAATAACTGAATAACTGCTGAATAACAGCTGAATAACTGCTGAATAACTGCTGAATAACTGCTGAATAGCAGCTAAATAACTGCTGAATAACAGCTAAATAACTGCTGAACAACTGCTGAATAACAGCTGAAAAACTCCTGAATAACAGCTGAAAAACTCCTGAATAACAGCTGAAAATCTCCTGAATAACAGCTGAAAAACTCCTGAATAACAGCTGAAGCATGCTGAAGAAGGCGAAAACAAAAAGCAACAGAACAGTGGCTGAAATGACCAGACAGATGTCTTAGACCAAAATAGTAGTTACAAAGGTAAACGTAGCAACATTGGAACTGACAGCTAAAAGTATCACAGTTTTAGCTATAAGCTAAAATGGCATGACAATGTGCAGCAGCTAAAGGTGTAAAATAGAAGAACTGCAGCTAAAGTCTTCATATAGTAAAATGGTWAGGTAATGCTGACTCAGCGCTCTGATTCTTACATCTCTCCCACCTTGAGAACTTTGTGGACCGGGCTCAGTAAGAACATTTGAGCTGATTGGTTCAGGTCCGTCAGAAGGTCCAAACAGTTTTTCTGGACGTCCTCTGTGAACAGATGTCCTCTTCTGTGGAGGACGTCCCTGCAGACAGGAGACGGGACACTTTCAGCTAAATGTTCGACCGTTTATCGTGTGTTTATTTGGATCAGAACCTCACCTGAACTGTGAAACACAGCTGAGGTTAGCTTTAACCTGGGCCGGGCTCTGCTTTCTGTTCTGTTTGATGATGTTTTCTTGAAAAGCTTTGAACCTGCAGGATGAGAGCAGTGTTAAACACAGAGACACTCGTTTCGTCATTAACCATCAGAGACGTTTGGTCACCTCTGGATTAAAGCCGGGAGTTGGTTGGTGATGCTCTGAGCTCTCTGCAGACTTCCTGTCACTGTTTTTGCTGCCGTCACCATCCCGTTGATCAGCTGAAAACACAAAGCTTCTGCTCAGGATCTGACCTCTGCAGAGTTGGTCACTTTCCACCCAAACATTGTGCGTACAGAAAATATGTGTTTTTGTACCTCGGCTGCTGTTTTAAAGTGTCTGTGACATGCTATCCTTCAGAAAGTCAAAGAAAACATCTTTATACTTAAGAAAATTGGCATAGTACCATTTTCTTACCCATTTTGTAACATAACTGGCCTATTTTCTTTTGAATATGGCTCAGTCAAAGTGAAACAGGAAGTGACATCAAAGGGGAACTCATTAATAAAATAAACTCTGGTTTTTATTTATTAAGACAACATTATTTAAACTTTAACTCTTCTTCGTCTCTCTTTGATAGAGACTCAAAATAACCTAAAGAAACATCAGATTCTCCTCTACAGTCTGTTGTAACAAYGCTCTKTTCACAYTCAGATAYTCCCCTGTGACATCACTTCCTGTTTCTTCTTCTGCAAATATCTCAACAACCGTTCATCTTAACGGTATGAAATTTGTTTTGCAACATTTTATCAATGTTTTCTTTCCAAAACTGCATTCATGTTTATTACAAACATTTGATGTCACAGACCCTTTAATATTTATTATTTTATTCACTTAATCAAGGATTTTAATTAAGTAAAAGCAGATTATTTCAGGTGGTAATGATCACCTGTTCAGTGCATGGGTACAAAACAGTAACCATTTTGTACCCACTTAGCACAAATGCCAGTTTTTTTGGTTATTTTTTGGTAGTCCTTTGTGTGTTTTTGTTTTCTGTGTTCTGTTCAGTTTTCCTCAGTTCAAGTCCTCCTCTGGCCACGCCCACTCACACCTGTTCTCTGTTTGATTAAAAACGTACGGTCTTTTTCTGCTCTCAGCTGCTCGGTGGAGATTTATGTACGTATTCGTCTGGTTTCCTCTGTCCTTCCTTCAGCTGCTTCATGCTTAATAGTTTAATATTTAAACAAATTAAATTCGGCTGCAGACYTGATGAAAAACAAACAGGTGCAAAGTGCGTTCTCTCAACAATAATTTACCYCGTTGGTGGAATTATTTCTCTGGGTTTTTGTTTTCAGTTGGGTTTGACCTCTGAGCRCCGAACAGAATCACCAGAACAAACATTAAACCAGCCGAAACGAATCATTAATTTCTGATTTCAAGCTGACCTAAACCAAGATGGCCGCCCAGGAAGCTCAAACATTATTAATGTGGTGTGGTAGTAGCTGAGAGTCATCCCCAACATGTACTCTGAGCTCGTTGTTTCAGACTGTACCATAACAGGGGCTGCAGTACCTGGATGATGTCGTAGGCCAGAGGACTGACGTAGCGGCCATCTTCTTTTGTCGGCTCCTTTTTGTCTGACCACTTCTTCTCCTCTTCCTCCAGAACTCGAGTTATGTACGTCAGCAGCATGTTCTGAGAAAACAGCATGAAAATCAGGATTATTAACTTTATAACGAGTTTAAAAGCTGATTAGAAACAGCAGAATGAACACTTCTTGCTTTGCTTTGGTGTTGAGTGCTTTAAACAGAAGCTTTGCCTCTTTTTGTTGTTTTTAGTAAAAATCTACGGGATAAATATTGTGCCAACAGGAAGTGAATCTGAATTGTTCAGATTGAATCTGAATGTGCAGAATTTGAAACTGAATACATTGGTTTGAAAATAAATTTTACTAAATTGAAACTGAATTTAAAGTTTTGTATCTGAATTAATTGTCTTTGAAACTGTATTTTGGTTTATTAAAAATTCAGTTTGACTTCTTTCACTTTCAGTTCCATAATTCAGATTTTTGTGTCACATCCTGGTCCTTGAGAAAGCCAGGCAGAGTAATCAAACACAGATCCACAGATTTATGTTTCACTTTGGTGAAGTTTCCCTTCTGGATGTAACAGAGTTGATAATCCAGCATAAAAGTGACAAAAACAGACAAAGTTATTTTATTGCAGTGATTAATTTGACCTATATGTAGAAAATGTTACATTTACATCACATCATGGATCAGTCAGCAGCAGCATCTGATCAATATGTGATCCATACAGTTTCAAAGCAAATTAATTCAGATACAAAAGTTTAAATTCAGTTTAAATTTAGTGAAATTTATTTTCAAACCAATGYATTCAGTTTCAAATTCTGCACATTCAGATTCAATCTGAGCAATTCAGATTTAATTCCTGCTGGMACAACATTTATCCCATATAAAACCTGTAAAACCACCCTGCAGTCATAAAGTCGGACCCCAGTCGAGCCAGTTTACCTCCTGATTGTTGAGGTACTGGTCCTCCAGAGACACCAGCAGATCGTCGGGCAGAAGGTCTCCGAGCGCCGCGGCGTCGATTTCACCCTCCAGTTCTGGTTTATTCAGGATTCTGGAACCCAGAGCATGACAGGAGATCATGAGACACCGTCCTGAAGAACGTACTGTGGTTCTTTTTTTATCTGGACTATCAGAACCAGCGTCACAGAAAAGGGACTGGGTCAGCAGCTAAAGTCTGAGTCATCCTGACACCAGGAGTCCAACATGTTGAAATCTGAGGAAACCCATGTTTGAGGAAACACAAAATAAAACCCGTTCAGAGTAGCTATCGCCCTCAACCCAACCCTGGACTCTGACCAGAACCATGACCCCAACAGAACCCGGGGCTCACCCTGGGTAGTACTCGTTGACCCATCTCAGCAGGAAGGTGCAGTCCTCGTCGTCCAGAACAAAGTCTGCGATCTTCCTGAGTCTGGTGGCGAGGCTCTGGTGGAACAKGGAGGCGTAGAACTGGCAGATGTTGGACTCTGGGGGGTAGCAGCTCTTCACCTCCTGGACCACCAGCAGGAGGTCCTCCTTCAGCTGCCTCCCCATGTTCTGGATGTCGGTCTGGATGGAGGACTGGCCCATGGGTCCTGAGGGACTCACAGAGGGGTTGTCCATCCGCTCCTCCACCAGGCGGCGGAGCGTGGAGTCGTGGAGCTCCTTCCACTTGCTGGGCGCTCGGAACGTGGACCACTTCAGGTCCTGCTCCTCCTCCTGGTAGATGGCCTTCACCGCAGAGGTCAGGGTGGTCTTCAGGACCGACACCGAGGCCTCGCTGGTGAGCTCAGCAAGGTTCAGACTCTGGTTCAGGGTCTGCAACAAGAGCTTCTCCAGAGCTCCACGCTGCTCCGTCAGACGAGCTGCTTCCTCTGTGTGACGATGAAGAGAGTCTTCTTCAGATGTTCCTCCAAACAGAAGGTTCTCTGCGTCAATCAGCACAAGCCCCGCCTCCCAGAACTGATGCTCCTCAAGAAGCTGCTGGAATGTTTCCATTCCTGAGGACAGACCAACAGGAAGACGTTTTACTACCTGGTGGAGTCCTGAGTACTCAGTACTGAGTACTGAGTACTCAGTACTGAGTAGATTCCTGAGGACAGACCAACAGGAAGACGTTTTACTACCTGGTGGAGTACTGAGTACTGAATACTGAGTACTGAGTACTGAGTACTGAGTAGATTCCTGAGGACAGACCAACAGGAAGACGTTTTACTACCTGGTGGAGTACTGAGTACTCAGTACTGAGTACTGAGTAGATTCCTGAGGACAGACCCACAGGAAGACGTTTTACTACCTGGTGGAGTACTGAGTACTCAGTACTGAGTACTGAGTACTGAGTACTGAGTACTGAGTAGATTCCTGAGGACAGACCAACAGGAAGACATTTTACTACCTGGTGGAGTCCTGAGTACTCAGTACTCAGTACTGAGTACTGAGTACTGAGTTTTACTTTAGTTTATCTAAGTAGGGTTCTTCTCCATCCATCCACCCATCCATCTTTCCATCCATCCATCCACCCATCCATCATCCATCCATCATCCTACATCCAACCATCATCCATCCATCATCCAACCA